CGTCTAACATGCTCCCAAGACTTCTGTATTCCTTCTGCACGAGAACCTACGGGTTAGGCATTCGTAATTACTAGTAGTGTCATTGCCACGTGACTCGATTGCCTATCGAGAGCATTACAGAACTCACAACTACCGATACATCAGTTCTCTTCTACGCGGCCGTATTTCGCGTTTCTTCCAAAATTCCCACTATCGCGTAGTCTACATCGATCGGCCCTTTCCTCCCAAATAATCTCCAATACCGACAAATGGAAATGACCAAAATTAGCAGCGATTCCGGTAGGTCAATTTTTCCGTTTAAAAGGCCGAACGAGCGATGATATCGCGATTACCAGGTGCTACGAGCTCAGCTAGGAAAAATAGGGGAATAGACGCGCGTTTCTTTCCTACAATTTACGTTCCCTCGAATCGGAACAAGTGTCGCGTAGAAAAATTGATTTATTTGTAAGAAACTTAGGGGGCGCCACGTCCCGATACATGAATATCGATCCAATACCGACTGAAATTCACGCGGTTTTTATGAATTCTTTTTCTCGCATTCAACTACCGTCCAAGCTTTTCACTCTTTTAAATGCTCACGGAAAATACAGCACAACTTATTCGAATACTGTTCTTCCTTTTTTCAATATACATCTAGTACTTTCTATCCCTAGATCGTCTAATTCGTCCATCTTGGTGATTTATTTTTCTTCGCAATCACGTGCAACGTTACCATGAATACGCATAATTTCTTATGACTCATTGCATAAGTATTTCTCTTAAAACTCTAGATCGTAGTAACGAATCACTGTTAAACGTTCGTTTGTACAGCGACCTTACTGGAACGCTTCCTGTAACTCTTGCCTCGACTGAAGCGAAAGATTGCTCGAAATGTTCCAAGGGAAACTCATCTGAAAAAGGAACTAGCTAGAAAATAAAAATCATCCTTTATTCGAACTGCATAATACGAATGTCCTAAGAAAATTGTTCACCTCTTTCGATGCGAATGAAAAATGTTCCATCAGATACCGAATGATAATTATCGCGGAAAGGAGCGGCGTCTGATGTATATTTCAATTTTGCATACTGATCGACGACACTTTAAACGGCTAAATCATGAGTAACGAACAGGAAGTGTTATCGTAACAACTGTCTATTCACGTGTCCAAAAATGTCCGATTATATTCGATTCGTTCACTTGTAACAAATACCGGAAGTACCACGCTAAGAGAAAAAGGAACTAACACGGTTTTCATCGTTCGATCGACGAGTATTACGCTTCTGTTAAGAGAAAATCGTCCGTTAATATTATTTGCCGTGTGAAAATATGAGGAACAAGTGGAAAACTGACCGATCGATCAAGTAACGCCGTGATGGATTTAAATTCCACCGGATATGGAATGTCCAGAGAGGTAAAAATCTTCTAGAACGTTCTAGAACATTCTAGAATTTTGGTGGATATATAAGAGGAAACCTAGTCGACGCGCCACTTCATTCAATAAACTGCCAGGTGCCCAACTCCGCGTTCGTGCATTTCTGAAGAGTATTTTAACATCGATTTAATTGAACATTAAGGTACAATTCGTTTAAATTACTTGCTAAAAGTGTGTACACGTTAACCGTGTATTTTATAGATTTATTAAAAATCGTCCACGCACAAAGTATAACAGTTAAAACGTTTATTCTTTCACCGCTTGGGACTAAACGTGGCTGTAGCTTTTGGAACTATCGTCGTCGGTTTTTTGCGCTTGCCTCCACGCATTTTCCGAATTACTCTGTTTTAGTGCATGCATTTTGATCCAACAAATAAATATTCGATTCGCGCGAACGTGTTTTTTTTCTCGGAAATACTTCTATCGCAGTTAGATTGTGCGTGATTGAAATTTAATAGCATCGTTGTACGCTGCACGTGACACATGTGATTGTTATAAAAAATAGATTAAACAATTAAAAAGCGTGAGAGGTTTTTTTTTTTTTCGTCGAGAAATTTTTCGAAAGTAAGAGTAAGTTGCGTAGATTTGTTACTTTTTTCAATATTTATTGTAGATGACCACACAAATGGAGACCGAGGCAGGAGATGTGGAGACTTTTGCGTTTCAGGCTGAAATTGCTCAGCTTATGTCTTTGATCATCAACACCTTCTACTCTAATAAGGAAATCTTTCTCAGAGAATTAGTTTCAAATGCCAGTGATGCTCTTGACAAAATACGTTACGAGTCTTTGACCGATCCATCCAAACTTGACAATGGTAAAGAGTTATACATTAAGATTATTCCAAACAAAAATGACGGTACTTTAACCATTATTGATACCGGTATCGGTATGACCAAGCCTGACATGATAAACAATCTTGGTACGATTGCCAAGTCTGGTACCAAGGCGTTCATGGAAGCTCTTCAGGCTGGTGCAGACATTTCTATGATCGGTCAATTTGGTGTAGGATTTTATTCTGCGTATCTAGTAGCTGATAGGGTCACCGTAGTTTCAAAGCACAACGACGACGAACAGTATCTCTGGGAATCCAATGCTGGAGGATCGTTTACCATGAAGCTTGATAATGGAGAGCGTTTAGGACGTGGTACAAAGATTGTTCTTCATATAAAGGAAGATCAGTCTGAATATTTAGAGGAAAGCAAAATTAAAGAAATCGTTAAGAAACATTCCCAATTCATTAGTTATCCAATTAAGTTAGTAGTACAAAAGGAACGTGAAAAGGAGTTGAGTGAGGATGAAGCAGAGGAAGAGAAGGATAACGATGGAAAACCAAAAGTTGAGGACATAGACGAGTCTGAGGAAGGAGAGGAGAAGAAGAAGAAGAAGAAGACTATTAAAGAAAAGTACACGGAAGACGAAGAATTGAACAAAACGAAACCAATTTGGACTAGGAATCCCGATGAAATTACCCAAGAGGAGTACGGCGAATTCTACAAATCATTGACAAATGATTGGGAAGATCATTTGGCTGTTAAACACTTCTCTGTAGAAGGTCAATTAGAATTCAGAGCTCTGCTCTTTGTTCCGAGACGTATGCCCTTCGATTTGTTCGAAAATAAGAAGAGAAGGAACAACATTAAACTGTACGTAAGAAGGGTGTTTATCATGGATAACTGCGAGGAGTTAATTCCCGAATATTTAACTTTCATGAAGGGAGTAGTCGACAGCGAGGATCTTCCTTTGAACATCTCTCGTGAGATGCTTCAGCAGAACAAAATTTTAAAGGTCATTCGCAAAAATCTTGTTAAGAAATGCTTGAAACTGTTTGAGGAATTATCAGAGGATAAGGAGAATTACAAGAAATTCTACGAACAATTCAGTAGAAATATTAAATTAGGTATTCACGAGGATAGCGCAAATCGTAATAAGCTGTTAGATCTTCTCAGATATCACACCTCTGCTTCTGGAGATGAAACTTGCTCTCTCAAGGACTATGTAGGTAGAATGAAGGAGAACCAAAAGCACATTTACTTTATTACCGGAGAGAGCAAAGAACAAGTTGCAAACAGTTCCTTTGTCGAACGTGTGAAGAAATGTGGCTTTGAAGTTATATACATGACAGAGCCTATCGATGAATATGTAGCACAACAAATGAAGGAATACGATGGAAAACAATTGGTATCAGTAACCAAAGAGGGATTGGAGCTTCCTGAAGACGACGAAGAGAAGAAAAAGAGAGAAGAGGATAAAAACAAATTTGAGAACTTGTGTAAAGTAATGAAAAACATTCTTGACAGCAAAGTAGAAAAGGTTTTAGTATCAAACAGGTTAGTTGAATCTCCTTGCTGTATAGTCAGTTCACAGTACGGCTGGACTGCTAATATGGAGAGAATCATGAAAGCTCAAGCTCTTAAAGATACATCTACCTTGGGATATATGGCAGCAAAGAAACACCTTGAAATAAATCCAGATCATTCTATCGTTGAAACTCTTCGTCAGAAAGCAGAGGCTGATAAGACTGACAAGGCGGTTAAAGATTTAGTGATGTTGCTGTTTGAAACAGCACTTCTGTCTTCAGGTTTTACACTGGATGAACCACAAGTTCATGCTGCAAGAATTTACAGAATGATTGAGTTGGGTCTTGGTATTGATGAAGAAACTACACCGGAAGAGCAGAATACAGAGGAAGTTACTCCTGTTGAGGAGGATGCTGCGGAGCAAGCTTCAATGATGGAGGAAGTAGATTAAGCTTAAGATCTGAACATGACATCGATAATCAATGTCCTTGTAGTCATTGAAAGACTGCCAAAGTAATCGCGTTTTATGTGATATTACTACCTATTCTCATTTTCACCTTCTGTATTATACAATCTTAATTTATCAAAAAAATTTGTTTTAAATGCCAAATACCTTGGAGTTCAATTAAATTTACAATAAAATAAGATTTATTATTATATGTGTATATTTATTATCATCATCGTCATAATCATATATCCTTAATGTACCAAATAAAATCATTGAAGAACATGGATAAAAAGAAAGTAGTTTAGAAAAAAAAACAAAAGAATGTCGTGGTTACGCTAGTTTCTAGAAATAAAATCTTCTGTTTCGCAATAAGATTCGAGTTAACTTGAACTTTTCGTTAAATTTAACAAACAAACTGTAGAATTTTAGTATGTATGTACCTCTGAGTCACACGAAATATACTTTAGCGAAATAAAATAGAAAAACCACTACATATCGACATTTGCGGTTTCCTTGTTAACGCTCCTCGCACGAGTCTCGCGAAACTTTGCTTTCGCAAAGGTGTTTCACGATTATTTTATACTCGCCAAAGTATGTCAAAACACGCCATCTACATGAAGCTTTAAAGTGAACGAAAGAAGCTTCTGTTGCAGGCAAAATTCAGTGTTCACGTCAGGCAGCTGATACATATTAAAGAACAATTATGATGGCAAGTCAAGGTTGGAAGGTGAGTGGGATGGGTATCGTTGTATAAAGAATATGCCGCTATATTAATCTACGCATCTAACGAAAACAATTTTAATTTACACGAATGACATTAATCGTAGGTGGTTAAAGCACACGTGCCCATGATTAAATTTCGCAAGGGTGGAACTAACAGAGGTGACGTTCAATCAATGTTACTGAAATGCAACTGAATGCATCGGTTGAAAAAGCCGACTGAAATCCTTGTTATTGGTTAGCTACTGCAGGTACGGCCACACCATCTGCGCAACCAGGGCCGACGATGTCACAACAACGTACTGGTGCAACGGGGCCTAACGTAGTCATTTTACCAACGATAGACGATATTCATCTTCCTCAACGATTCCAGAGACGACGCATCGACGAGAAAGAAATTGCTTATATCAACGCAAGTATACTTTTAACATTGACTCGACCTAGTGAAACTTTTCATTCATATATATATTCCACTTGACATAAGTCATTCAAATGAATTTAACATCTCTAAGCTTACATAATATCCTTCAAGGTTCGTCTACCATGAGTGAAAAAAAAGCCTTATTGTTAAATCAATTCTTTTTGTTATAGAGAGGTGGTCCAGAATAAATTGCACATGTAATTTATAGGATATCATCAACCCTAGAACATTCTAACAAGTCATTTTATTATTACATTCTTCTGTATAATATATTCTGTAAATAAATACAAAGAAAACAGCAAGCTATCAGTTGCACATACATATTTCTACCATGTACCTATCGGACAAGGTCTCTCTTTGCCTATGTGACATTGCCAGAACCTGCTATTTCTGGCTTGCTTTTTGGCTTATTCTTGTAACAAGGGAAATGTTCATCTTAGTTGTAAGAATAGAGATATTTAGTCAAATTCTTTTATTTCTCTGTAATATTCCTGTACCGTTATGCTAAAATGATTATTGAAAATTAGTCAGCTTCTAAATATAAGACATTGCAAATTTTTAAATAGAGTTACGTCCGCATTCATGGATTTCTATTTTATCATGTTAAATTAAAGCTATTTTATCACGTTAAATTGTATTTTCGACTGAGAATGTTTCGATATTAAAAATTTCATTGTTCGTATCACGATCGTTGAGACTACACCGTAAATTCTGTAGAATGTAAAATAAGGGGAAATGTATATTTTGGGCGTGAAGATCGCTAGTCACAGCCCTGTCCCATGACAGAAATAGCAGACGACAGTACGCTGTGTCTTCCATCTGCTCGCGATCCCTGGACGTGGTAGTGGAAGATCTACAGTTATTTTACCTTTTATCGAAGTTACGAAAGTTATACGAACGAAGAATTTACGAAAATGGCTGAAATAAGGGATTTCGGTCCGAGAAAGACGATTTTTATCCTGGCCATTGTTGCCGGGTGTTTTGCGGTATTATGGCCGAAAATTTTCTACCCTATGCTCACAGCATCTGTCACTACTACACATCAACCATCCGATAATTCTGGTAAGATATCATCGAAATATATTTTTCAGAGATAAATAAGAGTGCGTGACATATCAAGATTTTAACTTGATTATATTTCTTTATGTTATCGAATTCGGACTGTTCAATGACTTGACAATATACACCTACTAGCACCTATTCTCTCTTCTTTCTTTTTTCTGTTTACAATCGATCGTTTAATGTATTATTTTTTCTGATCATTCTATTATGTTCATAAACATTTATTAGCATGCTGCGGCGTATTCTTTGAAAGCGATGTCACCGCCGCTGATATTATGTACGAAATGTGTCAGAATATATTGAAACACCATCGAATTGATCCAAGAGTAAGAGATGCTTTGAGAACAGTAAAATTGACACCGCAAAGTGCAAGTTTGTGTAGAGAAGAAATTATAGCCAGATGTGGTATAGATTTGTCTACATTTCTTGCCGAAAGAGAAAGCTTAGGAAAATCTTATAAACAAGTTTTAGAAGAGGTCAGATCGTTCAATAGTTCCCTTTGCCTTAAAATACATTTTGGCATACCTCTTTCTCAACTAGGAACTCCACATCTGATCAGATACCATATTTTAATGCCACACAGTAAGAATTATAAAAGGTTCTGCTTCAAGTTTTTAATACAAGCTATTAACAAGACAGCATGCACAGCTTTCTTCTATTATTAATATACTCATACAGTTTCAATTAAAGTACCAAATTAATCGTTCTACCTTTAATTTTAAATATCAGTTTGATATTATTAAACTAACCAATTAAATGTGGGAAGCAGATTTAAGTTATCTCTTCTATCTGGCAAGTTGCCAAAAGAGCTATTAAATTAAATAATTATGGACTAATATTATATCTGTGATTTTGAAACAGTTAATGAAATGAAAATAATAAAGCTTTGAATTCTGCTTGTTTCACATTTATGTCCTATATAGTATTTTAAACAATTATATTTGCATTTTTAGGCACCATAAAGCAAGAAAGGCGTACACCTCCACATGCAGGTGGTCTGCATCCTGCATTGATAGAACGTGGTAGAGCTATACCGTCGTCTCATATTGTACCAAAGGTTACAGATAGACCTGATCATGTTGTGCCAAAAATGAGACCACCCTTGGGAGGTGCAGGACATGTTGTTCCTGCACCAAAAGGGAATGGTACCATGGGAATCATTATGCCATTATATACCTTAGGCATTGTACTGTTTTTTTTGTATACAATTGTCAAGGTGAAATACTCTACAAGATTTTTATACTCTTGTGTTAAAATTAACTTGAACCTATTTTTAACAGTTCATATTATTCTTTTAGGTACTGAAGAAAAATTCAGATAGTGAAATCATTGCAGAGTATCCAGGAGCTGCAGCAGAGAAAGAATTTAGAAAGATGGTATTCAGCCCTGAAGCTTTTACTACTGCTATGACTGGTGGTTCAGTGCCTCGTCAGAAAGAGAGATCTCCATCACCACAAAAACCTGCTCCCACCATACAGGAATTAAAGGATCGTAAGTTCTTTCAATGTTCAAAAGTAATTGACAACACTTGATTTACATTATCATTAATGCAGTGTTTTCCTTGAAAGCTAGTTCCTTTAAAGAAATACTGAAAAATAAGGTACATGTTTTTTTGAGTATCTAATCAGATTTTTAAATGGTGTTGCATGATGCAAGGTTTGCACAATTAGAACACACACGTATCAATATCATAAATTTAACAAAAAAAGAAAAAGAAATTTAGACTAAAATTAAAAATATTGTAAGTACTCGCGTACATTCTCTGAACACGTTTGATAATGTTATACATGCTGGAACACAAGAAGCGGCAGGAGACATAGAGATAGATCAACTGAGACGACGTTTGGTCGAGACGGAAGCAGCCATGGAAAGAATTGTTGTTCAGATGGGCAACATATCACGTTCAGTTATGCATAGTCCAAGCTCACAGCAAGAACTCAAGGTTTACTAAACTAATTATGAAGCAATTTACATTTTCAGTTCCTTAGTCCCTAGAAATGTGCACGTTGTTGTGTTCTGATTGCGTTTCAAGTTTTAACTCTCCTATTGTATATTACGTACATATCATATTGTCATTGCGAGATCTACCGACGTTCCGCTTTTTCTTATATACCAATGCTTCTGTCTTATATACCATTTCTAAATTATCGATCATTTCTTATACATTCATCTTTATAAAACGTGCATACTCATATTTTAGCTGAGTGAAGTACTCGTTAAAAGTATTTAAGTCGTTAAGTTTATTAAACGATAGCAATTACAGTTCTTATTTTTACATTTAAATAGTAGATGGGCCTCCAAAGTCCAAAGGCCTGGCAGGGGTTGATCGCTCACCTAAGGTATATTCTTTGCCTCAAACATTTCCTAACAAGAGTAACCAACGTTTGTGACGAATTATTTGCGTTCAATTTTTATTTATTTTTTTGAATAATATTCAGAACTGAACTTTGAATAACAACATCTCAGAGTATTATAATGTGTTACAAACTAAACCATACGGAAAACGTTCTGCGATGTGTACCTCTCAAATATCTTTCTTCAAAAATTCTTCAATTTCAATGCATGCCGATGAGAAATTATTATTAATCATCGAAAGTTTGATATAAACTTCTCTTAATTTCGTCGATTTTTCTTTAACAGGGTGTGTGTGTGTGTTTTTACAGGAATGCTATATCACACTTTTAAAAGAAACTACAAACATTTACTTTTTATTGATTTACGAGTATTAACCATCATAGTATAGTACTCGTTACGCATAACATATTTGACGTTGATGAACATGTACTTATCGTTCCGAAACTTCGACATACAAGAGTGTTCATTCGGGTAATTTCATTTTACAGGACGATACCGCTGCCGATGGTGAACATAGTAAAGCAGATGAAGAGGTAGCAAACATAGAACAATCGCCAACTGTTAAAGTAATGGGTATGGAAATGACAGCTAGTTGTGAGGGTAAGGGTAGTAGACCTACTACTCCTATAATACCAATTACACCTAGGTAATTTTCATATCATTTTGAAGAAAACATCATCTCTGTTAAGCCACGGGTATTTTCGATAATCCAGAGTAAATTGTTTCAGTCATGTTGAGAGGGAAAAAACACCGCCAAAACCGATATATTTAGAAGGTGCACTCCCTCCGCAATGCGAATTGCTTGTAACAGATTCTGAGACACAAGCTCAGAAAGTCGAAGAGGATGTAGAAGCACCAGTTGTACTTTCAGGCAAAATGACTCTCTCTCTCATCAGTCTCGACCAAAATGCAGCTGTAAGAAAATATTAGAATTACCAACAGAATCAAATGAATCTGCGGAGCCTTGTTTTATTTGGTGATTCTTTCATTCATTTAATTGTTTGCTTCTGTACAGATTACTTAACATGAAAATGGCAAATCACAGGAACTACATGGTGGATGTAAAAACAGTTTTTTTTTTCTTTACTGAATAATTACTTGTACAATACTAATACGCGATTCACTTTATGCAACTGCGATCACTTACCGTCGTGTGATTTGTTCTAAATGTTAATACCTAATTTATATTACGCATAGTTGGATTTATTATTAATGTATTAATTTCGACTTAAAATGCATACATTGCGACACATTTTATATTCTGTTCTTTGTTACAAAACATTCGTGTATACATCATTTAACACGTTACTAATTCGATCATCACTGTTGGTTTATGATTTCGTTAAACAAGCAGCGAACAATAATAGCACTCAACTAATTAAGTCTAGATAATCGTTGGTACATTTAGTTACTCCTTTCGAGATCTACAATTATTACACACAGTCAATTCAATACAATCTTTGCTCTTTCTCATTGTTATCTGTAAAAAAGTTCACGTACAATTGTAAAAATAAAAGTACTAAATATTCTTCCATCGTATTAGGAATCTGAAGAGGAAGAAGATCGGGAAATACGATATACGGAAGACGCAACACAGATCTTAAACACAGAAGACGAAGAAGAAACGTTGAACATTGAGACAATTGCAGGTAGAAAATACGAGGTACATGGCGAAACAGAGAGTAAACACAAAATTGAAGATGAACAAAACGAAATAAGCGAAGAGACGGGGCAAGAAGCAAAAGAATTAAGAGTAGGTCTGGAAGAAGAAAGAACGGAAAGTGATGCAGAAGATGATCAACGAGACGAAGCAAAGAAGATCAAAGTAAATTACGACGAAGAGAGGGAAGAGGATGAAGAAAAACAGGAAGAAATAGAAGAGACTGAAGAAGAGGAGGAAGAAGTGGAAGAAATCGAAGAAGAAGAAGTAGATGAGGAAGAAGAGATAGAGCTGACTGAAGAAGAGGAAGAAGAAGTCGAAGAAGAAACAGAAGCGGACGATGAAAGTGAAGAAGAGAATCAGTCTGACGTCGAAGACGAAGAAGAAGGTGAAGAGGATGAAGTTGAAGAAGATAGTGAAGAACTTGAGCAGCATGATGAGAGAAGTGAGGAAGAAAATGAAGATAAAAGCGAGGTAGATGAAGAGGTGGAGCCGGAGGAGGAGATCGAAGAAAGCGAAGAGGAAGAAGATGACAATAGAAGAAACATATAAATAATGTACAAAATTTTCTGTTAATGATATCAATGAGAAATGATCAAATAAATTACTGAAATGAAATAGAAGCAAATGGCGGTGAGAAGATAACGGCGGTAGTAACAGCAACGAAACGACCGTAAGAATGCAATAAGAAAAGTGGAACGAAAGAGACCGAAGGTGAAGATAATGGGTTGCCTTATAACGAAAAGACAGTTGAGAATTTAAAAAAAAAAAAAAGAAGAGTTTTAACGACGAACTAATGTTTGACTAAATCAGTGTTTACCAATCTTCAAAATTGCTAGATCACAAGAAGAAAGAAGGAAGAAAATAATCACGAATGGTACAGATCTTGGTTAAGCACTGCCAAAGAGCTAATAAGTTCACAAGACTCGAATTTATCGAATGATTACATTATTGTCTATTGTATCGTAGAATCAGAAATTTCACAATCAGAGGGGCCAAATAAGAGGCAGTGCGTCGTGCATATGTCCGATAAAGATTATTGTGCAATGAAAATTCGATAGGCACTAAATTGAAAGAAATGATTATTATTCCGATGTTGATTACGCATTGGGTACGGTGATTGGCAAGCACTGATCTAATATGCTTGTGCACATACCAATCGTTTGAGTTTAATGCTATTTAGTATTTTTTATTATGTCAGCCATTTGTAAAGTTTTTCTTCATTTTTTTATTTATGTCACCACAATTTTATATGCCATTCTGTATGCAGTATTTGTGTTACATTTAGATGGAAATTTTTTTAATAATGTAGTTTGTAAAACCATTTAGTATGTAGCATTGTCATTTTCATACCCATGTTTAATTGTGCAATTCCATATTTAATGCAACTACAAGAAATGCTCTTCATCATTTTATGTATCATTGCGTGATGTTTCTTATGTAAAAACGAAAGAAATTAAAACACAAGTTGAAATTTAACTTAACGTGGTGTGCATGTTGGAAGTATCGATTTAATTGCACGATCTCCCATGATAATCTTAACAACGTGGTACTCTAATTTTCGTATAATTCTTTTCTTTTTTTTACTAATAAAACTATACGTTTAATCCACGAAGGACAGTTAACAATAATAAATGATTCGAAATGAAAAGAATTTTTATTACATAACTGTATGACGATACTGCACGTTGTATCGAGATGTCAGTTTTCACAGCCTCCAAATACTGCATTTAAATTATCGTTGTAACCTCCGTGAAATTTCAGGTTTATATAGTGTATTAAATAATATCGTCGATTTAATTCTGTGCAAATCGTAAGACTTTTATTTCCGGCTAAACTCTATGGTGTAATAAAAAATTTCAAACCAAAACAAACCTCTCTTTAAATTTTCGGTGCTAACCTAAAACAAAGGTGATTAGATTTTTTTAAGTAGAAAATTGCCGTATGATTTTTTAAATATCTTTTGTAATAACGAAAGAAAGTGTGTTTTAGGCATAAATTTATTCATTATTTATTACCGTAGAATAATGAATAAACGTAGGAAAATATTACGCGTATATTAGCGAGTGTTTATCTTAAAAATATATTTATTATTTTTAGTGTATAAATGTAATAGATGAGAGTGCGACATTTTTTCACGGGTATCCTTATAGGCATCCCAATTGGGATCACCTTTTTGGACAAAGTTGGTTACATAGCTAAAGTAGAAGGAATCTCTATGCAACCAACTTTAAATCCAGATGGGAGGCATCCTGATTATGTTTTTTTGAATCGTCGAGCAGTTCGTACGGAAGCTATTCAACGAGGCGACATAGTAACTGTCAAATCTCCAAAATCTCCAGATCAGATTTTGATTAAACGTGTTATAGGACTTTCTGGAGACATTGTGCACACACATGGATATAAAATAGACATTCTTAGGGTAGGTGAATTGTTTGTTGAACGACGAATGATAAAAATATTCATCCAAAATTATTCTTTAGGTACCAGAAGGACACTGTTGGGTAGAAGGAGATCACATTGGTCATTCTATGGATTCTAATAGCTTTGGGCCAATTTCTGTTGGATTAATAACTGCAAAAGCTACTTCCATAGTGTGGCCACCCAAGCGTTGGCAACATCTTTATCCTTCCATGTCGAATCATAATTTTCCATTGAACTCGTCAAAGGTACCAGCTGGATAAAACTTAATTTAGAAAAAATGAGGGCTGTCAGTTTTGTTAAAAGACTTCAGTGGGATCTACCTGGGACCGTGTGTAGGCATGGATTAACAATAGGAGATGTTGACAACGACGGTGATAATGAATTAGTTGTCGGTACTGCAGAGGGAGAGCTTTATATTTTTAAAGTAAGTTGTTTATTCCCTGATCGTTTGATACTACGATACATACACGGTAATATTTATTCGAAAACATTATACCCAAAGGGATCAGAATTATGGCAGAAAATACCTGGCTTAGGTCTTGTGACCAGTGTAGCAATAGGAGATATTTTTAATTACGGACGGAATGCGTTAGTAGTAATATGCGGAGATGGTTGGGCACATATTTTTTACAGCCCACGATCTGTCAATCCTAGTATCATAAATGTAACCACTACTCAACAATCATCTAAGGAAACAGTTGATCAAGATAACATTAAGTCTGGTGAGTTGATAAATTGTACCGTACCAGAGTTCAAAGAAATTACGAAGCATACATTAACGAATGCCAATCATAGGCTATGCAAGTGTGGATGTTGCAACAGGTGTGAATATGATAAGTTCTCAAAGTTTAGATCAAATAGATGGCAATAACGAATTCAACGAATTGTCTGGTAAAATGGAGTGTGTTCATGTACAAAGAATTCCAACCAACACAAAGGTGGTGTTAGTAGCAGACGTGGATAAAGATGGTGCAAATGAGATGATACTTGGCTTGACCGATCGCGTAGTTAGATCTTACAGATGGTCGAGCAATCTAGAACTAGGTAGAGGAAAGCTAGTTGGATTGAATAAATGGGAATGCGCGAATCAAATAGGAACGGTCACGCTACAGGTGTGGTAAACATTTCAACGAATCAAAGTTAAATTGCACAATAAACTGTAGCGATTAATTTAACAAAAATTTTCATTCGTTATCAGCACATGGCCGATGGAACTCCAACGTTATTAGTTGCTCAACCAGGAGGTACATTTATGCGAATTAAGTGCAATCCCGAAGACTGCCATTTAGAAGACGATACTCATCAAACAAGTAACGAAACAGCTGCTAGCTGCGTAGATTATCAAACGTTGGGAATATCGAGAATGCGTAATCAGAATATCTCGACGGAAATCATGGGAAATCTGGAATCTACAGTGGAAAACAAGGTGCCGAATTACGAGTTTAAAGAGCCGTTCAAACAGAACGTCTCGAGCGAGATTCAGCATGGTAAAAACTACAAAACTTCCTCGTTCGAATTGAAAAGAAACAATAATTCGCAGTCGGAAGTAAGGAAGAGTAGCTTCGATTCGGTGGAAGGGCGTAGAAAAAGTACAGCGATAGAAAGCTCGAAAATAGATAAAATTTGTGAAAACAGCGATCCTTCCAGTCGAGATCAAGTCGACGGTAACATTATGGGAGGCAACGTGATCCTCGGCGATTACGACATAAAGTCAGAAAAGGAATCTCTGTTACCTACGTACAAAGATTTTTCATCTCAGGACAACAGCAACGTAGAGTGTGTGAAAGAAAAAGCAAAAACCGAGGCAGACTCGAACGTGCAGAAATATTCGTTACAAGGGAAACCCTACGCTCTTGCTACTTTAGACGGGACGATAATGTTGGTCAAGGATGAAGTAATCTTATGGTAAGATTTCACACTCTCGCCTTCTTTTAACAATGAGAATGCACATTTATCAACAGGTCGATGCAGGTGGATCATCAGATATTCGCGTTATGCCGACTAGACGTAACAGGCGACGGTTCCGACGAGATAGTGGCTTGTGCATGGGACGGGCAAACCTACATTTTAGATCAACAACGTAACAGCGTACGTTTCCAGTTCGAGGAACCAGTTCGAGCATTTTGCACCGGTAACTACAACGTTACACCGGGAATTTCGACACCGTGTCTCGTGTACAATAGCTTCAACAATAAGGTAAATTTCTTTCTTATTTATGAGACATATGTAGATAAATCGGGAACAAAATTACAAGTGCAAATATTTACAGATTTTTCTTTATTACGACGTTACACTTCCAAGCATGGTTACTAAACCGTTAAATCCAATGGAGGAACTCGGTTCCGAGGAGAGAAATATTTTAGACGAACTGCTGGAGAACTGTACCGATACCGAGCGGCAGCAAAGAATGCAACAGTTCACCGAATGGTTGTTGTATAGAATATCCTAAGATTTAACACGCTGTAGGTTATATGTAAAAGAATAAAAAAAGAAAAAAAAAATATATATATATATGCAGACTGTTACAAATAATTTCTCGTAGTTCTTCTTTTCTCTACTACCGAACCCGTTGTACATCGTTACACGTTTTTCCTTGATACGAACAATGTTTGATCACCGTCCAACGAATTTATTGCTCGTCTTTCCGTATCTTCTTTTCTCACGGTGTATCTTTTCGTATCGACAGGATAGAGCCGTTTGTTACAACGTCCGTCGTGAATCACTCTCCCTCTTATCACGAAGGATATACGACCGACGAAAATTCTTAAGAAATTTTTTAGCAAACAAGGTCGCTACGATATCGGTTACCGAATAACTCAAGGTCTGAATCCAAGAGGCTGGTTTAAGGATAGCACCCAACTATTTGCAGAACATTGCGAAAGACGGAACTTTATCTACCTATCGTAAATTAGACTGATGTTCGGGCAAAATCAGTGAAACATATAGCTTCGGGTTGAACGTCATCATTGTCAGTAGGAATGTAGATCTCACCGGGTACTTTTCCGAACTTTCACGAGATTGCCGTACACGTACATTTAGATACCGATCGATATTGGTTCCTCGAACGACATTGTCGATTAACGTTTTACGAATCTGTAATCCGTGATTTCGATAACGAGCGAACAGACCCAAAGTAGAAAGAAAATATAGACGTGAGTGTCAGAGAAATATTCTATCCGATCGATCATGCTCTTTATCGCGATAAGTTCTATTACTATCACATTGTAAATAAAAAAGGAAAGAAATGGGAAGTGAATTTGGAGCAACAGTTTGTTTGTTGCCATATTTGCTACCTTTTGCTACCAGTCGTCGAGTTCAAGTGGATCAAGAGTAACGTGTCTTTCGGTGTGACTTAACATTTCCCCTTAATTGATTCTAGAATGGCGGAAAATGAAACGAGATCTTTGCTCGGACACGAATTGAAACAGCTCACCTTCGGATGGACCGACTATACGCTGTTCACCGGTCTTTTGGGGATCAGTGTCCTCATAGGGATTTATTTCGGCTGTTTCGGCAAGAAACAGGATAATACTACCGAGTACTTGCTCGGAGGGAAAACGATGTCCTGTTTTCCAGTTAGCATGAGTTTAATTGCCAGGTAAGGTATCCCTCTTAAACAAAGAGAAAAGAAGAGAAAAGAATTAATCGATAACGAAACTATAAATATGTCGTGTTGAAACATTTTTCAGTCATATATCGGCAGTTTCTTTGCTCGCCGTACCTGTCGAAGTGTATCAATACGGTACACAGTATGCCGCCTGCATTTTTACATCTTTCATATCGTGCGGCCTCATCTCCCTTATCTACATGCCAGTGTTTTATCAACTACAATTGACCAGCACTTTTGAATACCTGGAGATGAGATTTACGAGGCCGGTCCGGCTGTTCGCCTCCTTTCTCTACTCGCTTTCTTTGATCATTTACGTTCCTTTGATCATATACGTGCCGGCGTTGGCGTTTTCACAGGCGACAGCGATCAATCTCCACCTGATCACTCCGATAATATGCATCGTGTGCATATTTTACACGACCATAGTAAGTCCATTTCGTTTATCACTCTCTTACAGTTACAGTCCGGTTATAGTCTCGATTAACGTGAGCTTCAACGGCCTTCGAATTAATGTGATCCTTCGGAAAGGGACTTGTTTGCGAAAGAAAGTTTGCGCGCCTTTGCGGGCACTAAACTGCTAGTAGGGTACCGGGCTAACCGAATGATATAAATTAATACTATCGTTAAGGAAGTGTAGATATGATGTTTATAAACACCATTTACAACGTGTCACGTTATCGCATATGAGGAACGAGTTGAGAAAACACAGAGGGGGACTATGAATGAAATGTAACCATGATTTAAAACGGAATTACAGAAGCCGTCTTCTTGGCGCGTATCTGGCTTTCGTCAAATGTTTACAATGCTTACAACATCAGCAGATATCAGACGGTAATTACAGTGTTTCCGCGTGGAATACTTGCACGTTAGATACACGGTCGCGTGTGTAAAAGAGGCAAAAATACGAAAATAAAAGAAATGAAAGAAAAAGAAAAGCATCTCGACTGACTCTCGTTTCACGCAAGCATCCCGGAGAAGGTATTGATAGGCTCGTTCCGAAGATAAATCTCTCTTTCAAAACATTTAGGGAGGTTTGAAAGCTGTTGTATGGGCGGACACTGTTCAAATGACCGTAACGCTGGGAAGTCTCGCCGCTGTGTTCATCTTGGGCACCATAGCCGTGGGCGGTGTGTCTGAGACCTGGA